TAATACAATCTACACACTGTGTAGGTTGCAAAGTCCACTTCTCTATGTTGACCTTCAGTCCTAATGCTGACAAAGGGACAGTGTCAAGGACGTGTGTTTACCAGCTTGTCACTTGGACTCAGTGGCCAGGAGCCAGTTATCCAGGTATGGGTAAACAGTGATTCCCTCCTGCAGAAAGCCTGAGAAACCGTTGATGGCCTGACCGGATGCCATCATGAAAACAAGCATTCAACCAACTCTCTGGATGTAACATGTGAACAACAGAGTCCAAGAAAGCCATACGGAATCTACATAGAGTAATAAAAGAATCCAGGCCTTCAAAATCAAGGATGGGTCAGAGGTCTCCATCCTTTTTTTTTTTTTGGTGGTAGTGGTGGTGGTGGCCATAACGTGGCCTATGACAGTGAAGTATATTGAATTCAATAGCATAGCCGGTAGCTATGATAGAGTACCCAAGTATTAAACATGAAGGAACACCAATAGGAAAGACGAGGGGCCTGGCAGTCTGACGGGTCAGCGACAGAGATGTCAGGTGCAGTAAAGAGACCGCTCGGTTTTGCGGTCCTGCCTGCAGATCTGTTGGTCAGGTGCTGCCTGCCCACACGTCTAGGGGGTGGCGGCTGGTAACTTCGGGGTTGAGGCCTTTGACATTCTCAGTATGCCCTAGGCTGGTAGGAGCATCGCCAGGTACTTGCGGTTGTTGAACCGAAAGTGACCATGTCGCCTTCCAGGGCTTAGGCAGGTTATCAAGGATAACATCAGCTTTCTGACTGAAAGGCGTATACCAAGAAACGGCAGATCCTAAACCCGTCAGTTGTTTGGATGCTGGTTTAAGGCATGTCGAGCAGCAATGCACTTGTGACACACCCGCCCCATTACCACCTAGAGATATGGGAGGCCTTAACTGTAAAGGTGCACAGGAGTTACCCGCAGAATTGGCAAATTCAATAAGTGGTGATGATAAGCACCCATGGCAGAGGAGTAGCTGGCAACATGGCGGCCAGAAAATAAAAACGCCAACCAAAGAGCTCCTTATCTGTTAACGGTAAGGAGGGTGACAACTGATATGGGAGTAGGAAGATTCGTTGGAAGTCTTCCTCCCCTTCCGACTCTTGTGAGTCCCAGCTAAATAAGGTAAGTCATTCAGACAATTAGGGGAACAGTCTTTCTTAGTATGAGGCTGACAAAACTCAGTCTCAATACCGTTGCCGGGACAGAGAAGGCTGAAAGAGTTAACAGCAGGTTAGGTTGAACCCGTGAACCTTTTGCTGCCAGAGCTGAGTTCGAGAGAGCACTACACCTTTGAGGCATAGGTGGAGGCACAAAACACTCCTTAGCCTGTGGCTCAGAACAGTGCTAGGTGGAGTGGGGTGGCAGTGGTGGCAGAAAAGGTGGCGGAAAAGGCTCGTAGCTCCTGTACCAGATAAAAGGGACTTGTCAGCGTGATAGGACCCTCTTGAGGAAGATTACTCGGGTCTACCCGAGTAATCTCGGGTAGACCCGAGTGAGTCCTTTCCTTATGAGCCTATGCAGGTGCCAGTGGCTGAAATGGAACCGCAGGCTACTGTGTGAACGAGCCCATTTATAAAGAGGGCTGTTTTGTGCCAAATTATGAGCCACCAAACAAGTGCTACCCCAGAGAGGAATGTCACTGACTAACAGGGTTAGTAGTGGAAGCTGCAGCCCCCCTCCCTTTTTAAAGGCAAAGATAGGGCTGCCAAATGTTGCCTGAAAGCTCTTGCTTTGGCACCTAGCTGATTTTGGAAATAGCAGCTGTGTGAACAAGCCCATTGATAAATGAGGGCTGTTTTATGCCAAACCACCCAAAGGTGTCACCACAGTCAGGCATATCACTGACAGGTAGGGCTGGCAGCAGGAGCTGAAGGGAGCCCGTTCCATCCCCAAAAGCAAAACCAAGGCTTACCGTATGTTGTCTCGGCACGCAGCTTTTTCCGGAATTATTAGCTGTATGAACGAGCCCAGGAAGAAGGGTTGTTCCATGGCAACCTCATGCAGAGGCTTTTACCCCATGTCAGGAGAATCACTGACAGGCGGGGAAGGTGACCAGCGCTGCAGGAGGCCCTTTCTTCTTCAAGGGCAGGGCTGCAGACGTCCAACTCACTACAGATTAAACAGCTGTATGAACAAGCCCCTTGATGCAAGAGGGCTGTTCCACGCCAACCTCCGCAGAAATTTTAACCCAGTCAGGAGAATCACTGACAGGCGGGACCGGCGTCCAGTGCTGCAGGGACCCCTTTCTTCTTCCAAGGGTAACCCTGGGGTTACTACAAGTGTCCAATTTACTGCAGACTTGACAGCTATATGAACGAGCCCTTTGCTGCAAGAGGGCTGTTCCACGCCAACCTCACACAGAAACTTTTACCCCATGTCAGGAGAGTCACTGACAAGTGGGGATGGCGGCCAGAGCTGTAGGTGGCCCTTTCTTCCTCCAAGGGTGAAGCTCAGATGCTGTCCGCTTGTTTTTGATAGAAAGAGGAAGATTGCAAACAGGTAGAAAGCTGTCGCTCTTGAGCCTGGGGGTAACCTTGCTAAGAAGGTAAAAGAGATGTTATGTCTTTAAGAGAAAAAGCCCTGAGGCTCTAAAGCCGGTTTTGTAAAGGCTTTGTAAAGCCTTCACAAAGAACAACTAATGCTGGCTGGTTCTCTTCCCCCAGGCAGAAAGAATAAGGGAGGTGAAAGAAAGGAAAGATAAGAAATAGAATTTGTTTTTACTTGCAAAATTCCGAACAGAGCTGCTACTACAGCAGCGGTTGAAAAAAGAACTGAGGGGGAGGGGCCGGTGGCGGAGGTATATAGTCAGGTGTAGGGGAGGTCCTGGCACCAAGTGCTTAAAGCTGTGGAAGTTTCCGAGGTTGCTCTGCTCGAGCACAGATTAACCCATTAGTGTGCATTCACAGAGACCACGAAGGAGAAGTTAATTTTCATCCTTTTTTAACATTATGAAATATTTTTTCACATTTTTACATGTGGTTTGTTCACTAATTACCTGTGCAAATCCATACAAAAATTCATAATAGAATCTGAACCTGTGCTATAATAAGCCTACTTGTGTTTAATATAGTTTATGCTCCAGACCACTATTAAATTCAACAGAATCAGTGCAGAACTATTAATACACAGATTTGAAAATAAGCCCTATTGATTTCACCAGCATTTATGCATAAATATGCATACTTAGAATAAATGGGTCACATTGGCTACATCCAAGCAGTTCAGTTTAACTGAACTGTGAATAGGACTATTTGTCTTGCAATTCTCTGGCTCATTATACAGATGATAGTGCTCTGAAATTGAGAGGTTGCAAAACCTGTGGACAATAACAGATACCAAAATACTTGATTTAGGATAGTATTTTAATTTTTTGCATTTCGTCTGAAGAGCTTAAAGATGGTTGAGCCCTCAACTATTTGTCTAGCCAAGACTTAAAAATCAGTAATCATACCACCAGTATAAGAGTGTGATCACACAGAGAAATACAGTAGATTGCATTTTGGACTACTTGTGGAGTGGTCCAATGTGATTTTTCAGGTGATCACATGACATATGGAGAAATGCAGGTCAGCCTTGATCTGTACTGTTGGGCTACTGGCAGAAGGATTGCTTTAAAGTTGATCACTCCCATTAAAGTGACAATTTCTGGTGCAATCAGGTAATACCTTTCCCGCTGTCTGACTGCATCCCAATATACATTCACATGTATATAACACTTCACTACTAGAAACTGAAATGTTATGGTGTTCCTGCCTTCCTGCTTCAGCTAGACCACAGGACTGGATGTGCTTTAAAGTGATTCTAAAAAGGAAATGTTAACCACTGACACATCTTTTATTGTTCCAAAAGCAAGATTTAAGTAATTATAGCCGAAGACAAACTACAAAAGAGCAACTTTCTTTCTTTCTTTGTTTTTGCAAAGAATACCTGTGTCTGATTAAGAAGGGTGAATTCAGGCTTGTGATGATTTAACTAAGTATCTCGTACTGTAATAGCTATTATACCACTTCTTTCTTATACTTATAATATTGAAGGATAACAGTGAATAGTGAAAAATAAGCATGAGAAATGTTTAAACATACAAGCAAAGGAAACAAAAAGCAATCGAAAATGAACCAGGTGTGTTTATGTGTATAGCACTTCCCTTTCAATAAACTGAGTGATACATGTTCACCGCTCACTTGGGTGCAAATTTTGGTTTTAAGTATAAAGAAATATGAATGAAATGTATGTGTGTGCTGGCACAAACACTCTGCACAACTCAAGTTAATAAATAAATGTTAACAGAAAAATCCCAGTGATTACAGTATGTAGATATGGAATCTAAAAAGCTAATATAATCATTTTTCTCAAAACATCTGGCTATTTTGCATTACCTTAACTTTTCTTACCAAGCAATTGCGTTAACAAGAAAAAATGTGTTGTGGATTATGTTCTACCACTCTTTCTGACACTGATTATACATAAGTAGCCCTTCAGCTGGTTTCAATTTAAATCCCACTGATGCAAAACACGTATGAAGGAATACAAGGCAAACTTGCATATGTTAACTGCATCCATGGTGACAATCTCCTCAGTGATGTTTCACAGCAATGAAGTAGTAAAGGTCGCTCTCCAGCATGTAGGACCCTGCCCATGATTTGGCTAAAGGTGTAACCAGTACTCTAATGCTGCAAAGCAAACAACCTATTCCTTTCTGGGCATGTTATCTCCATCTTTCTTTCCCCAGTTAGCCTGGCCTTTTAAGGAATCTGAGGATTCCTAAGGAGTCCTTCTTCTATAATCATTGACCTCCGGATCTACATCTACTTATGAGGGAAACAGTTTCATCAGTGCAGATTGTGATCATTGCAGCCCTTGAATCTCCACCTGGGACAACAGGAAATTTACTGCAGGCAGGCAGGGAAAACAGAAATGTGGCAGCATGCATATATGGAAGAATATTTGTAATGAAATCATGCTTTTGTCAAATAGAATTTCCAACCTACCTGAATAATCTTATCACCAGGCTGGAGCAGGTTGGCTGCTGGTCCGTCAGGCTGAACCCTAGTAACAAAGATACCCTATAAGTCAGAAGTAACAGAGGTTAGGATACTATTACCAAGAACTAGGCTAAAGGTTTGTATATGAAGTAAATGAATGACTGAATGGATGAATCAATCTATTTGTGACACTAATTATAGCCATACCCCCTGCTGAATCTTAAGGTTGCATATTAGTCGTATCTCATAACAATTTAGAATCAGCAAGCCACCAGAAACAAGAACTTACCTATAAAAGCCATTATAGAATTATCTATGAAGCCATATGTATATTATAGATAAATCAATCTACACTCTTATTCTCTGTATACTGGATTGAAAGGAAACATCTCCAAAACCGCACTGCTTATGTGTATGTTTTTCTTGTGGTGTTTTATAAGTTTTCAACATTCTTCCACAACATACAACCTAACCCTATCTTCTGTTTGGCTCTTGCTGTTTCTGAACAAACAGTAATCCTTTTAAAATTGTCAGCTGCTTTTAGGAATAAATAGCTGAAAACTAAAGAAAAGCAAAGAAAAAGAACCAGTGGCTTGTACTGAAGGTATAGTTCTTCCCACTTGAAAGAATAGCACAGTTCATTCCTTTAAAAAAAACTAACACAGGATTGCCTTTTTCAGGCTTCTGTGATAAAAATAATGAAAAGCTGCACTAGATCCAAAGCCTCAAAAAACTAGAAGACCTCACACAATGTTTGTTTTTCCCAGAGCTTGGGAAAATAGCAGAATTTCTCAGCCAGCATGAATATTAGTCCCCCTGGCTGGGAGAATCAGGGAGTTTTGGTAGAGGAAAAGGAAGTTTTCAAAGCTCCCTAACCTTTTGTCTCATGGCAACTGGATTCTTAGCAAGTTCACGAAATTTCTCTGAAAATCCTCAAAGCAACTAAACTAGCATACAACAGGACTTGGGACACAATTCTAATTAGCCACGATGGATTTGGTTTAACTGAGGCAACATTAGGCCAATTGAAGCTGTGTGGAATCCAAACCCTCCATCGTCTACAGCAATTGGAAGTTACTTAGGCCAACTTTCACGTGGGCCCAACTGTGTGCTGGTACGTATAGTGACAATAATCCTGAGCTAAAGAAGGCATTTACCATGATTTTTTTAAAACTTTCATTTGTTTTTTCTGCAGCACCCGCAACACAGTGGTGCATAGCCTGATGATAAGGCTATCTAATCAAAAGCTGGATTTATATGCTTCACTGTCTGTACTTGTGTCAATATATTAAAGCAAAGTGTGCTGCTTATTATCACACCATAGCACGTAAAGCACTCTGGACCATTTACAATTTAATTATACAGGCTACACATTGCACACACACACACACCCTCGAGAGCTGGGTACTCAGTTTACTGCCCTTGGAAGGATGGGAAACTGAATGAACCTCAAGCTACCTACCTGGAATTGAGCCCAGGTTGTGAGCAGAGTTTGGCTGCAATACTGCAGTTTAATCACTGCACCATAAGACTCATTTAAAATAGTATGGAACACAATATTATATAACATATTAATGTAATGTGATACAATGGCTAAAATCATGTTGCTTTGTTACACATGTATGACATTCAGTCACTTCTAGCTGGCACAGCTGAGATTCTCAACAAGGCACATGTGTGATTTGTTGCACACTTAGGACTCCCAGGGGTGACTCTTTAATTGCCAGCTAGAAGCAACATAATGTTCTGTTTTTTGCCTTCTGCATGCATAACAAAGCAAAAGGATTTCAGTCAGTATAATATACATAATGTCTGAAATCCAGTAGTAAGTCACAACCAGAGAAGACCTCCTTATGGAGGAGCTGACTAACCAAATCTCAAATCACCAAATCAATGAACCATCTCTATTTGTGATGTGTTAACTGGATTTCAATCAATATGTTCCAGTGCATGGAAAGAGTCATTCACACAGAAGGGTGCATGTGTGCATGTGCATAAGCACACCAATTCCAGGCAACTGAAATGGTTAATTTGAGGAATTAGAGAGGTTACAGTTCAAAACACAATAGGGCAGGGCTCCCAAAAGATCTGAAATGATTAAAGAAATATTCCAGACTTCTAGAACACAGGGGAAAAAAAATAATACATAACGATTTTAGTAACCTTGTCAAAATGAACAAGTATTAAGAAACCACTGGGTTGAGCAATTCCATTTTCTTTAATTCCCCTTAATGAACTGTTAACAACTTAAAACAATTTATAATTATGAAAGAATGAAATTTATAGTAGATGCACTTATAAAAAGACTAACTATTCACCATGAAGATATATTCATGATGGGCTTTGGCTTCAGTCCACTCACAGTACTGACCCTAAATGAACTACTGTATTGTATTACCTTAGAAATTGATGTTGTAATTAAGATGTATGTCAGGGACAAACAGAAACAGAATTGGATTGGTTGGTAAATCTCTAGGTAGTTTGCAAACAACCAGTATAGATTTATAATTCCAAATCGTTTAACAACAGCAGTAGAAAAATGACACAATTAATTGTTGAAATGAAGATTGCTTGGGGTCAATGAAAGTGGATTTTTGTGAAAAGTGAAATGTTTAGTATTCAAACCAAATTCCTTGATGTCAAAGCTCCGTATTGCAAGGCAAAAAAATTTTTTTTTTTGCTGTGATCAAAGATAATATATACTTTACTATGGTTTCTTCTTCTAAAATGGTATGGGAACTCATGAATAATGTAGATTAACACAGATAAGATATAAATTTATAGTCTAACAGAATAAGCACAATGTTCATGAGAGTGAATAGCAACATGTCTAAAATATCTCACATTGTCAATGGATAAATACAGATGTTTGAGTTCAGATCCATGAAAAATAATGCATAATAGACCTACATAAAAAGAAACAAATTAACATGGTTTTCAGCTTTGGTGACACCAAGGAACAACTGAGAGTTAAGTAGACAGAGACTGACATGGCTCTCAATAAGTGCCATAAACAGTACAATCCTAATTCAAAGATGTGCCCGGGTTACAAATGGGCCAACATCTCTTGTGCTGGCAGAACCAGCTTGTGCTGGCTTATTTCAGAGAGCTACCATCTAAAGACAGCTAGCAGAGGAGCCAGAAAAGGGGTGAGTTGAGGGAAGAGCTGAATTATGCCAGACCCAAGCTTCATCCAGCCCAGGAACATATGCTGGTTTGTATTCAGCTCAGCTTCAGTTGGCTTAGTGTCGACTCAGCTGAGCACCAGCCATTGTGGGTAATTGGTATTGTGTCTTAAATTCTCTGGAACAAAATAGACAGCTGCAATTTGGAACACAATTAAGAGAGGAGGACAAAGTCCATCAATGGGACTTATTGAGAAGCACAGTCATCCAGATCATGAGGTTTAATACATATCCTGTTTTCTCTATCATTTCTTTGCAGTCTTGACTTTGAATGAATGGGTGTTGTCATATGGGGACCGATAAAGTGAAGACTAAATTGTTAATTCTATTGGCCATATCTGAGACTAGACTATCACCAGTGACTCCACAAGGAAAGCAAAATTCCGTCCAAAATCCCCACAATACAAGAGAATGGCAATACATTTCTGCCCTTTCCTTTCTCACCCTAAACCAGAAGTTAAACTTGAGAAAGAGAGATAGGAAGGAGGTCAAGTTCTGCCTTGGGGAGTAGGGAATTGGTTCTACTTGGAAACTATGTCCTATCTGGGGAAACAGTAGATAGAACTTAATCTGGAAAAACAAGGATGGCCGCACACTCTATTCTGACTAAATAGGAAAGCAGAGCTGGAGAAAGGGGTAGAACTGTGAAAATGTTTCAGGTCTTCCTTTATCATTCTCCCAAGCTGATGGTGCATGGACCTAAGCACATGCAGTCCATTTATTTTATTTATTGGACTTATATACCGCCCCATAGCGCTACAAGCACTCTCCGGGCGGTTTACAATTTTTAATTATACAGGCTACACATTGCCCCCCCAGCAAGCTGGGTACTCATTTTACCAACCTCAGAAGGATGGAAGGCTGAGTCAACCTTGACTCATGCAGTCTTAGTTATTTTTAGCTGCTACTAGATCGCTGTGAATCAATGTTGGAAGCCCTGCCCCTAGTTTACAAGATACTGATTTACCCAGGTGGCTGCCATGAGCAAAATATAACAAAGACTGTATTCTGAGTTGTCAACAACCCTAGTTCCAATATTTAATAGTAACTTTTGAGGGCAGGAGCACAGATTTGATAGTCGGTACCCCTCTCCCTAAGTAAAGCAAGTTTCCAAACACTAGATCAAATAGTTCCATTATGTTCCTTCTATTACTGCCTGCCTACTCTTTGTAAGCCAAAGGAGCAACTATGTACATCAGCATTTAAACCTTTCACCACAACATTAAAACGGTTATATTGACATTCTATGTCTTCGATACACCTGTTTAAGGAGAACACAAATGTCTTACCTTGTCAGAAGGTTTAAATGGATTTCCTTGTCCACTTATGCCTCCACTGATACTAAATCCAAGTCCTGGATTTTTTTCTATCCTCACACAAAACTATAGTTAAAAAACACAAAGGGACGACTAAATGCTTGCATCAAATTAATGACAAATTTGTGATTCTCTGACAAATGTTAGTTAGCATTATTTTTATTATTTCAATGAGACAACCCCAGATTTAATTTTATTCATTATTTAAGAAAATGGCTTGCCATATGTTGGTATAGTTTGCAAAACAGAGTGTAATGAATTGGTTTAATGCCATCTTTTTTTTCATTGTTGTTAAACTAAAACTTGTTTTGAGCAGTTCAACATCTAAATGGTTTGCTCTAGAAATTCTTCATAGGCAGAAGGTACTTCACGATTAATGGGCTTAGGATGGAGCCAACATGTACTGTTCACTACAGAATAATCCAGTCATTATCTTCCTATATTTTCTCTATGATTCTTCCATCACTTTCCCAAACTATATCATACATTCACGGTAGTCTTTACGGTATTTGCTATGCCATGCCTACATTTTTAATTCTAGTATTTAATTTTAAAAGTTGTTTCCATCTAGTATACTTTTTCAAGGGAAGAAAGGTTTAGGGAAAAATCCTGTTGGCACAGACTGGATCCAGATGCTGGGAATTTTGCCCTGAGGAAGAATTTGGGAGCTTTGGGATTGAGTGGGGGAGCCTTTAATAATAATAAAAAAATCACGGGTGTATTATGAATGGTAGGTAGTGTAAAATCATCTGTCTTGATATCAAAATGCAGGATCCAGTGCTAGAATTACAGTGGCAGAACAGTCCAATCCAGAGGAAAGGGGAGACAGATCAACTCCCTGTTTCACATGATGTTGCAGTATTATTCACCTCAAAGCCTGGTCTATCAGGCCAGGAAATCCCTTGGATCCCTTTGTGTGTGTGTGTGTGGGGGGGGAAGGGTAGATATGGGGCTTGGGGAGAAGAGGAAGGGAAAGAGTTTCATAGTACTAACTCTATGCCAGATTTAGCCCACAGCTCAGAAAATTCTCCATAGTAATGTTATCATCTGAGCAATATAAATGATGAACTTGCCCACAGACATGATAAATGGCATTTATAATCTACATGGGCATGCCTGTTCATTTAGCAATAGCAAACTACCATAAATATTGAAACTCTTTTTCATAGATATGTGCTACATGCCATCAAATCGCATTCACATTACACCAGCCTTAAAATGGTTTTCAAGGTATGTGAGACATTTAAGGAGTCCATTTGCCATTGCTCCCCATCCATCTCCCCTAAGAGTTCCCATGGCTGGCCAGAGTTTCAGACAGAGACCTCCCGAGTACTACTTGACTGCTCTATGTACTCCACCACATTCTTTTTAAAGATTAAAACCTATCTTTTAAGCAAAAAAACTCCTATCTTTTAAACTTTTTTAAAAAAAGAACCCAAGTTCTTCCATGGCTGAAAGAAGTTCATCATGCATGCTTACCTGTTCTGGATAGCCATCTGTACTCCTTTGCCCTTTAGTTTGGATTACACATCTTCCTGCTTGTGGTGCCCTAGTACTCTGAGAAGGGATTTGGATCGGCAGTGGTGGCTGATACTGCTGAATGGTCACTTTATTCATGCCGCCCTCATATGGCTGTGGCTGCTCTCGGCTCCGATGCTGTAGGCTCTGTGACCCCATCAGAGTCTGGATATGGCTCCCTGCCTGTGTATCATGTTAACCCATTTTATGTGAATTGAAAACAATGCAAAAAAAAAAAGGAAGAAGAAAGGAGAGGAGAGGAGAAAGAGTTTGTTAAAATTTGCACAGAGAAGAAAAAAGCAAGTATGGAGATGTTTGGTTCTCATAACCACAAAAAAACCGTTGTTAGAAACAACACCAAATAATTTATTGGCAACATCACTTCTTTAGCTAGATTTGAAAATAAACATGTAGAGAACCAGTTATTAAATGTAAGCAATACTGTTATTACATATTTTCATAAAAAGATGTAACAGTGCCAAAAGCAACGAAAGGCTGGTCTTTGAGAAGACTATACTTCACAGTTTACTCTTAAAAGCATTTTATTTTTATTGCAGTCCTGTGTAAATAGTATGTACAATATTAGATTGTTTAACCTCTTGGTATTTCAAAACCAGCCAAGATCTATCCATTATTCAGGATTTAAGGCCTTCAGTGTGCTAGAATCCAGAGGTCACAGTAGTGTGAAGATTTATAGTTTCTCTTTGTCTCAGCAGGACTGCCAATTTGCTGATGCAGGTTTGGGAAATAAAATTAGGGGACATAGGGATTGCAGGAGGAAGGAGGATTGTCCTAACTTCTGCTCATGGAAATGCTTCTGTGAGAGCTATAACCTTCATTGGATAGCAGCTGTGGATTATTTTCTAATAATGAGTGCAAAGAACAAGATTTCCAAGTGCAAATATGAACTCTGGTTAATTTAGAAGAGAAAACACATACATCTATTTGTCAAGATGCGAAATTTTTTGTGCATCCAGTTTTAAATAAATAAGGGTGGTGGACGAGGAGAGGTTGCCCTAAAAATGAAATTGCCTTCAAAATTGAGGCTTGAAAATAAATTACTATGTAGTCACTGAAAACTATTAGCTAGCTCTAGCCAAGCAAAGTCACTGTAACCATAACAATCCTATCAGTTTAACTATTTATGTTGCAATGTTAATGTTAATATGGAGGTGGGATTTGCAATGTTCTGCCATTTCAGGACTTTGGTATGTCAATATCTTAGTGTTACAGTATCGTGGTACAGGAAAGCCTTAATCTTCTTGCTTTGCAAAATTTTAGTCAAAACAATGACATTAACACCATAATCCCAATTTGCCAGATTTTAAATTACAAACCTTTGGAGTTGCAGTAGGCCCAGGAGCAATAGAATTTCCTATTGAACATTTTTTCTTGGATTTCCAGACCCCTGGATCTCCAGGGCCTGCAACTTAAGTTTAGTTTTCACACTTTAGTTTTCACAAACATTTGATGTTTTCACACTTTTAAGTATTTTTGTACCTAATTTTTTAACAAGGTGATAAAAATTCTGGGAAGGAATTTAATCTATGAATTTGCCAGTTTACTGATGTTGAATTCCTATCCTAATAGCATGGAAGGAATTTATTAAGTCTCCTAGGAGAAAGAGGAGTAAATGTATACACTTCAACCTGCGAGAAGGGGTACCCACATGTGTTACTGTTATAAAAAGGTAAAGAAAGTTAAAAGAGAATAACTTTTTATCACAGCAGCTTCAGGAAAAAGTGCAATTTTGTCTACCGTATGGTAGTACAGCATACATTTACAGTTACAGAGCTTTATTGCAACAAACTGCACAATAATATATAAGCAGACAGATCTCAAGAAGTGATTTATTACAGAGCTTTATTGCAACAAACTGCACAGATCTCAAGAAGTGATTTTACTTTCTTAATTTCTTTTTAAAAATTAGAAGATCCCACAGTATCAATATTTTTCCTAAAGCGATAAAAGAATAGGGTACAGATCGTCGTCTAGTCGTGTCCGACTCTTCGTGACCCCATGGACCAGAGCACGCCAGGCCCTCCTATCTTCCACTGCCTCCCCGTGTCAAATTCATCTTGGTTGCTTTGATGACACTGTCCAGCCATCTCATCCTCTGTCGTCCCCTTCTCCTCTTGCCTTCACACTTTCCTAAAATCATGGTATTTTCCAGGGAGTCTTCTCTTCTCATGAGATGGCCAAAGTATTGGAGCCTCAGCTTCAGGATCTGTCCTTCCAGTGAGCACTCAGGGTTGATTGCCTTTAGAATGGATAGGTTTGGTCTCCTTGCAGTCCAGGGGACTCTCAAGAGCCTCCTCCAACACCACAATTCAAAAGCATCCATTCTTCGGCAGTCAGCTTTCTTTATGGTCCAGCTCTCACTTCCATACAACACTACAGGAAAAACCATAGCTTTGACTATTCGGACTTTTGTTGGCAAGGTGATGTCTCTGCTTTTTAAGATGCTGTCAAGGTTTGTCATTGCTTTCCTCCCAAGAAGCAGGCGTCTTTTAATTTCGGGGCTGCTGTCTCCATCTGCAGTGATCATGGAGCCCAAGAAAGTAAAATCTGTCACTGCCTCCATATCTTCCCCTTCTATTCCCCAGGAGGTGATGGGACCAGTGGCCATGATCTTAGTTTTTTTGATGTTGAGTTTCAGACCGTTTTTTGCACTCTCGTCTTTCACCCTCATTACAAGGTTCTTTAGTTCCTCCTCACTTTCCGCCATCAGAGTGGTATCATCTGCATATCGGAGGTTGTTGATATTTCTTCCTGCAATCTTAATTCCAGCTTGGGATTCCTCCAGTCCAGCCTTCCGCATGATGTATTCTGCATATAAGTTAAATAAGCAGGGTGACAATATACAGCCTTGTCGTACTCCTTCCCAATTTTGAACCAATCAGTTCTTCCATGACCAGTTCTAACTGTTGCTTCCTGTCCCACATATAGGTTTCTCAGGAGACAGATAAAGTGGTCAGGCACTCCCATTTCTTTAAGAACTTGCCATAGTTTGCTGTGGTCCACACAGTCAAAGGCTTTCGCATAGTCAATGAAGCAGAAGTAGATATTTTTCTGGAACTCTCTGGCTTTCTCCATAATCCAGCGCAAGTTAGCAATTTGGTCTCGAGTTCCTCTGCCTCTTCGGAATCCAGCTTGTACTTCTGGGAGTTCTCGGTCCACATACTGCTGAAGCCTACCTTGGAGGATTTTCAGCATAACCTTGCTAGCGTGCGAAATGAGTGCAATTGTACGGTAGTTGGAGCATTCTTTGGCACTGCCTTTCTTTGGGATTGGGATGTAGACTGATCTTTTCCAATCCTCTGGCCACTGTTGAGTTTTCCAAACTTGCTGGCATATTGAATGTAGCACCTTAACAGCATCATCTTTCAAGATTTTAAATAGTTCAACTGGAATGCCATCACCTCCACTGGCCTTGTTGTTAGCCAGGCTTTCTAAGGCCCACTTGACTTCACTCTCCAGGATGTCTGGCTCAAGGTCAGCAACTACATTGTCTGCATTGTCCGGGATATCCAAATCTTTCCGATATAATTCCTCTGTGTATTCTTGGTTCTTGGCAAAGATACTGGAGTGGCATTGCCATTTCCTGCTCCAGGTGGATTGCGTTTAGTCGGAACTCTCCACTATGACCTGTCCGTCTTGGGTGGCCCTGCACGGCATAGCCCATAGCTTCTCTGAGTTACTCAAGCCCCTTCGCCACAACAAGGAAGCAATCCATGAAGGTGGCAGCAATCCATGAAGGTGCAGCTATCCATGAAGGTGCAGCAATCCATGAAGGGTACAGATAGATGTTATCAAATGCTTCAATCCATATTTCCTGTAAATAGCCAAATAAAAACTGAAGAATTCTTCTACACTGAACAACAAAGCAATGGAATGCTAACAATTTCCAGGAGTTTAAGGACATTTTATGGCTAACAAGTAGAGACAATTTTTTTCCTAAGCAATTTTTTCCAGCAATATTTTTTAATTTAAATTCAACATACAAAAAACGAAAACAGAAAAGCAAAAAGAGAATAATAATAATTAAAAAACTAGACTAAACCCTCTACTAAACTAAACCCTCCCCCCTTTGGAGTCAGAGACTCCAGCCTCATTAACCCTCCTCTCTCCCCAGTTTGGTATCCAGTGTAAACTAAGTAGATATACATGTATGATAAAATTTGCCCTACACTCTTATCTTTCTCTGGGCCCAAGAGTATATTAGTCCCCAGCTTTGTTTTACATAGTCTCTTGGTTGTTCCCGTAGTGCCTCTGATAGAGTGTCCAGTTCTGCTATTTTCAGCAATATTTTTAAGGCACTGTTTGCATTTGACGTTTGATTTTAAGTTTCGAAAGCCTCACCTTTGCCAGTAAAAATGTTTTAATAGCCTAAGCATGACAATAAAACCAAGAAAAAAGAAAGAATACTACAGTACCTTTATAGACTAACAAATGAATTTCAATGTGAGTTTTAATTTGTTTGTTCAGTCGTTTAGTCATGGAAAGAATACTACAGTACCTTTATAGACTAACAAATGAATTTCAATGTGAGTTTTAATGTTCTCATACAATTTTATTTAATACTTATTCAGTCATAAGTTAATATTCAGAAATAGTCATGCTAGCCTTTTTCTGGCAGTAGCAAACTCAAACCCGAAACAGAAATACTGTGGCAGGCATGTGTCTAAAGAGATTGATTATAACTAAAGATGGGCACAGACCATGTTTCCTTGCCCTGCTTGCTGGTCTGAGTGGGCAGCTGCTGAAGGAAGTGGAGAAGAGAAGCACCCTGCTGCTGGTGAGTAGGCAATCACCCTAAAGAAGTTTGGGAGGGACCTGTACAGCGCCTGCAGAACACCTGTGCGGGCACTGCGCCAAACCAGGCTGAACAGCTGAAGTGCTGTTTGTGTCCATTTGTAATTATAACCACAGATGCTCACACTAAGAAAAAAAGTGTTACTCTCAAATGTTCTGTTTTGCTGTTCTTTTTGCTGTTGCTGAATTTAATATTCAATTACATTATTTATATACATGGTGTCCCGCATGTGCGGAAATAATTTAATACACACAATCATGCATGATGATCTAGAAAAACCCTCATCTAATATTATTGACCTATGAATCATTGGGAATATTTATTTTATCTACTTACTGACCTTGTTAGTCCAATTTGATAGAATAAAATTGACCAGAAACAAATCACATGACTTGAGTGTTTAAACCAGGCATGAGCAATGAGTAGCTCTCCAAAACTGCTGGACTACAACTCTCATCACTGAAAACAATCATTTCATAACTGACTGTCTGACTAGGGCTAATGTAGTTGTAGTCCAGCAACATATGGAGGGACATACAATCCCCACCTCTGGTTTAAATCTTCAGCTGTGACAGCTGAGAAGAAACAGCAGAGGTCAAATTCAATGAAAGCTTACTAGCATTATCAGAGCAGCATGCTGACAACAACAACAACAACAACAATAATAAAGTCAAGGGGAGTAAGTTCTTTTCATAATTCATTTTCTCATCCATTTTAATCACTTTTGCTGTTTACAAAGTCTCATACATTTATAACAGTTTCTGCTGTATACTGATGACATGAAAATAAACCTTTTTGTTGAATATTATTCATTCTCCTTGTATAAATAATCTCCAATGTGTAGGCATGTTTCCCATGATTTCATTTGAATTTTATGTATTCTTTTAGCATCCATCATAGAAGTTAATTCTTTCAACCTGGCAATCTCCTACTGACAGGAAAATTCAAACAGTTGGCAAAAAATATAACAGTGGATAGTGCCAAAAAGTTAAAACAGATTCCAGCATGTGGTATAACCTTTTAGCACAAAGCTTCAATAAAGATCAGAAATGACAGCCTTTTTTCAAAAAGTCACCATGATCTTGAAGAAAAATGGAAGTAAAGTGCTTGTTTCAATTGTACACTTTATTATCTGAAAAAATACTGAGAAATGAAGTGTGTCTGTTATTGCTTTTCCTGAAACCAAGAAATGGTAGCAATGTGAGAATTCATTTGAACTTGGGAGGGACTGGAGTCCATTTTCTATGTCCCCTGGACATGCCATGGATCACACCAGCAACTCCATGAAAACTTGGCAGTGACTGGTAAGTCATCAGTTTTTTCAAAACTGGTTTTGTTGTTGTTGTTTTTAAAATGGGGTGTGTTGTTGTTGTTGTTGTTGTTGTTGTTAAAATGGGGTGTGCCTTGATTTAGAGAAGAATCACAGCACCTCACAGATTCCAGAGGAGTGATTCTTCAGTTTAGTGAAGAAAAATGAGAAGATATGACAGTGATGCAACAACAGCTTTTCCATGGAATTTCCAGCCCTGACTTGAAAGAAAAGGTTACATCAGAGCAGATGACTGTCACATCATAGCAGTTATGAGATGGGAAAAGCTGTGGAACTCTGAGCACATACCTCCTCCTTCACAGTGAATTCCCCAAAATCCACCTTACCTTTGGGTAAATGTTATCCTAGCACTTACTAACTATAACTAATACTAAAAGCCCCAACATAAAGCCTGAGTTTCAAGTTGTAGTCAAGAGGGAACGACTTAAATCAGTGACTATGAAAACTTTAATTATGGTTAAAATGAAGAGGAGAATTTGTAGCAGAGAAAGCTCAGAATTCCACAAGTCACTCTCAATCTCCTAATTAAAGATAAAAGATCAGTGGCATACATCAGTACTAGAGTGAGGAATTATATCTATATCTATGTATCTGTTTTCCAGTGTTCACTATGTTTGATATAGGTTACCTTTTTAGTAACAGTTTCTGGTGGGACATCTCGTCTTCCAAGGGGATATGGATTCCACTGGTTGCCAGCTGAAACATCCTCTTGTCCATTGTCTAGAACACTGCTCTGTTGTGATGGAGTCTATTTTTTTAAAAAATGTTGAAATAACACATTCTTTAGTGAGAGGAATATCAATGTACGAAATTATTGTTCATGATCCAGGTATTTTATTTGTGATGGGAAAAGGCCACATAATTGTTGAAATCCTATTGATTAGTGCAGTTAAGTTGCAACTTGAGTAGCTCCACTGAATCAGTGGGGATGTGATGAGTCATTGATTAAAATGGGCCCACACTCTAGTTATGAATTGCTACACTAAAGTAAGTCAGAAGTAGAAGAAGCCCCTATGAATTAGTGGAATCTATGGAGGAGTTGACTCTCCAAAGCTCCACTGATTCAGCAGACCTCCTATAGCGTGACTTACTATGCTAAGCAACAGGATTTTAGCCAATAGGCATTTCATTATGGTTTCAAACTCATGTACGTTTTCCTATAAAGAGCTATAAAATTGGCTAGGAATTTAAAGTAACTGTGAGAAATTTGAAAGAGATTGGCTGAATCAATTGTCTGAAACACTATGCAGTTTGATATAGTTTCTGAATATATGTAGTTAAAGAAATACTTCTAATAAGCATGGAGGGAAATTCTCATGCTATTGTTTTCAAGAAACTAAACGTTCATGTTAAGCATCTGTAGTGGCAGAGAAGAAATCCCATAGCAAAAGATCCTATTCTACTTCCCTACGGAAAAAGTAAAATAAGTATGAAAGTGCTACCAACTTTTGAAGAAGACATATTTAACAATGACACTGTTTAATACTCCATCCACATTAATATGCATTTCATAAATGCTCCAATTTAAAAAAAACTATATTCAACAAAGGCACAACACTCAAAATAGTTTGTAAAAGTTTACCCTGGGAAAAAATGCCTAAGCAGTTATATAACAGCCATCTTCCAATATCTAAAGGATGATCATATAGACAGACCCAAGCCTTCTTATCTAGTTATGCTGGCGCAAACAGCATACTGTAACTTTTGGTGGTGAATTGCCCCATGTTAATAAGTCACCTGAGACATTATCAGCTGCATATTGAATTGTGTGACTCAATGTACTATAGTGATCTCCTTGACTGGGGCAATTTGCCTCTAAAAGTTTTGCCATCTGCATAGCTATGCAAGAGGATTTTGGCCCTGGTAAACTAATTTTTCTTGTTTCAGAGGACCAAAAAGAAGCTGAATGAATTTACATTAAATATTAGGAAGGACTTTGTGACAATGCATATTGTTGAACAACTGAGAAATTGTGATGAAAGGTTATAGTCCTTACTTCACTAGAGTTTTTTAAGCAAAGGCAGAGAGCTAAATCCATTGACAGCAGACCAAATGAAATCAATAGGATTAGCATAAGCACTGACTAATAAGTCCATTCATTCCTTTGGGACTAGCATTTAATTTAACCCTAAATAGTGGATTTCCTCAATCAGGGTCAGGATGAATTGAACTGATGTTTGAAGTCCCTTCCAACTCTATGGTTCTCTTAATCAAGAAAAAGCCTAAAATACAAGATAGATTAATTTAATTTAAGAAGATCAATAAACTGACCAAAGTCAAAGGAACAATTGGTTCAGCTTTCTCAAAGTACTAGTAGGCATCCTTCAGTCTCGAAAGACTATGGTATCGTGCTCTGTATGGAGGACTTGGAACAGCGTCTAGTGTGGCTCAGGAGGCCAATTCGAGAGTGACAATCCCTTCCACACTGGAGACAAATCCAATCTGTCCCCTGTCCAGCTCCCTGGTTTTGCTTCCTTTGTGACTTCCTCTTTGCCTCAGCCTGCTGGACAAGGGTCTCTTCAAATTGGGAGAGGCCGTGATGTACTGCCTGCCTCCAGGCTGAACGATCAGATGTCAGGGTTTCCCATCTGTTGAGGTCTATTCCTAAGGCCTTCAGATCCCGCTTGCAGATATCCTTGTATCGCAGCTGTGGTCTCCCTCTGGGGCGATTTCCCTGCACTAATTCTCCATATAGGAGATCCTTTGGAATCCGACCATCAGCCATTCTCACAACGTGCCCAAGCCAGCGTAGACGTCGCTGTTTCAGTAATAATTAAAATATCCTGTTATCTGAGTGCTTTAATAGCTTGCAGAGAGACAACGGTAAATTGCTCAGTTACATACTCAGCTCCCATCTTTTCATTACAAATATTTTTGATGATATCAGCTGTCTTAGTGGACAAAGGAATTAGCATGTTTCAGTGGTTCCCCTGTTTGGACAGGTGGAGGGTTAAGGCAGACAGAGGAAACAAAAACAGTATGGACCTATTTCTCCAATGTCAATTTGGAAAAGAAAAGGTGAGAGATTTTAAGCTGGACTTTGTCCAGTGTGGGTATGCAGCCCTGAAGGAGTTCTGCCATAGCTGCTTTCTGAGAAAGTTCAGTGGGCATTCTGCCTGCAGTGTGCATCTGAGTACAATGTAGTTGACCAGTTGTATGCACAAATATGTAACATTTTTGGAACCCCAAGGAGATGCAAGCCCCTCTTCCTCCACAGATTATTATGATCAACATATAGAACATAAAAGCTACATAGTATTACTGAAAGATTTTAGAGGTGAACATTTGTTCATTAGTTATTCTAATTTTCCATATTTATCCAGAAACCAACAAGATCACTGGTTCCCAACCTAAGGTCACCCAGGTCTTCTTGGGCTGCAACTCTCAGAAGCCTGTGATGGCTAGGGTTTTGGAAGCTGCAGTCCAAAAACACCTGGGTTACCTAAGGTTGGGAATCGCTAACCTAGACAATATAAAGAACAAAATATATTGCACTGGGGAAATCCATTAATAAATCTATTTTACATTGACTTGAAGCATGTTATGTTTCTTACTTTAAATGCAAAATTTCACTTCACTGCATGTCAGACCACAATAGAATGTGACACTGGAATAAAAATATTAGTAAAACATACTACATAAGAACATAATAGGAAGAGCCCTGCTGGATCAGGCCAAGGGCCCATCTAATCCAGCTTCCTATATATATCTCACAGTGGCCCCACCAGATGACTCCTGGAGCACATGAGACAATTAGATACCTGTCTCCTGATACCCCTCCCCTGCATCTGGCATTTTGAGGTACCTTCCTTTTAAGGAAGACAGAACAGAATTCTGACATTGTTAATTTAAATGGAGTCACTCCATCTGGTGAACTGCTGCTAACTAACATAGTACTGTTGGGATTACAAAGTATGTATCTGTTGTGCAGTCAGCGGCAATTTTACCATAGTAAGTTACACACTTGAACCTAAGCACCAGCAGAATTCTGGGCATTATTTATTGGTCATTCATGTACATGCATATAACCATTACACAATTCCAGTAGCACCCCAAAACCTTCCACATATTGGGAAAAAAGAGCAAAACACATCCACACAGAGAGGAATCGATATTAATCAAAATATTAAAAAGGAAGAAAATAGAAGGAAAAAGGTTGCTAATGTGGAAAGAAAGCCTATCATTATACGGCACCCATCTCTGTTTAAAATGCCAATATGGCAATTTAAATTATGGGAACTACAAAATAAACATCATAGCTTGTAAGATTTTATATTATTAGGGATGTAAATTAACCAAATATTAAAATGGCAACTAGAGGTTAGCATAAATAAAATATACTTGGTAATGAATTACATGCAGATTTGTACCTGGAAACAATGACATTTGTTAACATCATGGTCTCATATATTTACCACTAGAGGTACCCATATGCCACACCCATGTTGCTAAATTCCTTAGACCAATCTGTGCTCTTGCCCCAAATTTCAAATTACTATAACTATATATACAAACCTTCAAAGAAAACAATCTTAGGTATCTTTCAGCCAACACGTTTTTGTTACCTAATCTGTGGCTGAAATAATGACTGCCTCTACAACTGACAACTATGATTTGCTACTTAAAGTTTAATCCTTGCTGTTGCTGTTTCCTATTCTCCTCTAACAGCAGTGAAGAACAATTTTTCCTTTGTCTCTGTGACTTTAACATTCTTCAAATACAGTAAGAGATTTCTAATACTTTATTTTATCTCAGCCAGATTACTATCCTTTCAGCCTAATTTGTTTGTGGTCACTTCTACGAATTAGAACTTGATTTAGTTTGACTTTGCAAATGTTATTGGGCTATGCCCCAGCTGGGTTATGTCCCAACCTTAAAGACTTACAACAGATAGCTAATTTCCCAACATTCCACATACAAAACATAAATGTAATAAAATATGTGAAGAAGGCATACAGTCTGACATGTCATTTGAAGTATGATCATAACCCAGTCTTTAGCTAGGCCAATAGTTATCTGTAATAAATGGCTCTACACTACACAACTACAGCAGTTTCATACCACTTTCAAGTTCCCTTACTCCATCATATGAAGTGCCAGGATTTGTAGTTGGGTGAGGGACTTAAGAATTCTTCAGTAGAAAGCTCAGTTGCACTTCCCTGAACTGTAGAGGAGAATCAGAGAATCTCAAGTCACTCTCCAAACCACAGATCCCATAGGATAGAGTCATGAGGTAGTTACAAGTGGTGTTCAGCTGCTATTACTGTGCAACGTACATATGCTCAGTATCTGTAGGACTTGGCTGCTCTGATGCCATCCTAAAGGATGACACTGTTTGTGATGGGACTTTTCTGACATTAAACATTTACACCATTCTAACATCACTGACACCTTCAAACATCTACAACATGAAACGTGACCCTCAGGCCTCTCCAACTAACATAACGACTACATCAGTCTGCAACAGAACAGCAGAAAGCAGCATGAGTATCACATAGGGAGGCAATTAACTGAAGAAGCAAAGATGTTAAGTAGGCAAAGTATGTTAGCAACTTCACTTATTTTAAAATTTGCTTTTAGGACACAAGCATGAATTATTTGTAAAGGCTAAAAAGGAAGAAGAAAGAATATGAAAAGGTATCATTATGTGGTGTCTGATATCTGCAGGCTATCTCATACTTACTTTCGGTAGAGGTAGCTCTTGATGCATTTGGTTTTCAAATTTAGATTTAGTCTGCAAGTTTAATGTCATGCTTCTGCCCGCATGCATTGCTGACAAACCTCCAGAGCGCAGCATGCCAAGGTTAACAGTGTTGTGTTTATAAGCAGCAGTCTGAGTAGAGGAAATAACCACGTGACAGGGTATGAACACACATGCTCATTAAGAGAAATTATTGCACATATATGACTAACTTCACATGGTCTCTATTTAAGCAAACAAACAATACCAAGGAATAAGTAGCTTTTTATGCATGCACTGAGTCAGACAGAAGCACATAGAGTGCTAGTTGTACATAAAATGGTTACCATAAAAAGACATTGACAAAAAAGCAAACAGGATATTTTATATTAAGGACTTTTAGAATGTGTTTAATACAAAAATATAGCTGGATTGTGCAAAAGAGGGCATTATTTTGAGATATCCTATAAGCCTACTTACAATAAAACACTGCATTTCACATCTGCCCATAATTAGAACACACAAGAGAGTTCTGCTCTATACAGCATACTTCACAAAACTGCAAGACAGATTTCTGGAGAGCAGAATGTTTGATATAGTTAATAAAAAGATTCGCTTCTGCAAATACAACTATGACATGACTATGACTATGACTCTTTCACATCTATTATATTAACTGCTTAATAACAGAAACATCTAACTGTTTATGGCTTAGTTTCAAACAGAAAAATGACAAAAATCAATTCAAATCTTTCAATTACCATAAAAGGCCAACCCTTAAAATGGATTTTTAAGAACGTACTGCAAATTAAATATAATTGGCAGAAGACTGTCTACTGCATATAAGTCTACTTTTGAAATTCACAATTATTCAAATTTAGTAAGTCAGAAACCAATTTTCTTGAATTATTCTTGATTATATATAAAACATCAAATTAACATATAGGATGTTATTTAGCATAACCACATTTCCAGAAATATAAATTTGCTCCTAAAACATCTGTTTAATCTATTTGTGTACATGAAATAATACATGAAGTCTCTAAAGAATGAACAGATTTAAATCAACCACAATTACAACAAATTAGCACACAAGCACAAAGCTTATGAAAACTTACTACTTTCCATATGAGAACACTGTTTTTAAAAAAACACCTCTCAATGCTTCAAATGTTGTATGTCTTTAATATATATGAAGAAAATTGCAACCTGATAATGCAATAGATGTGTTCCTTATTGAACTGGATTTTTATCTAGAGTGACAACTGTGTAATATTCTGCAGCAAGACCCTACATGCTTATTTTAAACATCTTACTTTTATTGACCAAGAGGTAATAGCAAAAACTAATGCTTACTCTTTGCATTAACAAAGATAATTTAATGTCAATACATCCTTTATAAGAGATGTGCATACAACATAAAAAAATAGTATCAGATCCTCCAGGTTTCTGAGACATGCTTATTATTTATATCTGGCTAAAATAATTGATACTATATATTATCACTGTATAGTGATATGATAGTTCAGCAAAGACAGTCAGAGGCATATAATTATGAAATACATGAAGATATCCTTAATATTGAGTTATTCAAGCATAACTTCAGGTATATCATATTTATATACAAATTAAGAAGTTGAATTACTTCTTTAAGTGGAATGCTCTGGGCGAAACATTTTTCAGCATTCCAAAACTGGAAAGGTATTATAATTTCTTCAATAGCAAACTTAATTATGTGTCTTAGGCTGCAGTTCTACATCTGTTAATCTGGGGAGTAAATTATGCTGAAATCTGAGTAGACAATAAAAGGATCACACTATTTGGATTTGAAATGGGGCCATCTCAAAAATAACACAGCAGCCTGAGACTACTGAGGAATTTCCTAGGTATACAGAAGTATTTCCACTTATAAATTAAAAGAAAAGGGTGTTACCAACCAAGCAACCAACCAGCCAGCCAGCCAGCCAGCCAGCCAGCCAGCCAGCCAGCCAACCAACCAACCAACCAACCAACCAACACAATGCTGCCCCAAAAGACCCTGCAGGGAACCGTTTCCTGTTTTCTACTGCCAAAAAAACCTTTTCCTCCCTAACACAAGTGACATCCAGTCCAAAATCTGTATCTTTTATATATAGCAAATTTGGGAAAAAACATGCCTCTTTTATTGTCCCTCTTCGGAACTCCCTCTGAAATGCCATACATGAGTGCCATAGAAAGAGCCTCCCTGAAGAATGTGAGGACTATGAACACATTTTTGGCATCCCTTGGGCAACAAGAGCACTTGTTGGCTAATCCTTCCACTCCAGAGGCACCATTGGATTGCTTCTGACATGAACAAAAAAGAACACTACATACTTCTACAAGATCCTTTTTTTCAAATTAGCCAGAACCCTGAACAAGATTGTTCTTGTTAGAGGCTCGCTGGTGATACACACTACAGTGCACGGCCATGTAAAAATAATTTTAATGAGTTATTTTTAAAATAGACTGTCTATGGTAATAACTTGTCAACCTAACCAGGAAAAAAAAGATGACTTTTATGTTTGACTTGCACTGTTGACAATCCAACATCATTTTAAAATGCGGTGTATTGTATTTTTAGTACAGACACCCCTAACACACAATAAAGCTTCAGACAACCAAGCCAGAAAACAAATCTCATGGAAAAAGCAGAGTCAACCTTGTGTCCTTTGTGCAGGTAACCTTTAGATAGGGAGAATAACGTATACAGGAAACTTCCACACCGACTGGGCTTTCATTTTAAGTGAGAAGGCAGCTCCTTATACGTAACACACTGACCTAGAACTCCATTAGTTTAATTGTGCTGGAATTAACCCTTGCACATGTGATAGCATGAAACAGTGTACATATGTGCTGAACTGCAGAACTGGTTCCACAACAGAAGACTGTGCTGGACTCCTGGAAATTCATATCTGCTAATATAATGAATCTTGCACTAGCACATTGATTACCTTATGGATATATATGATCATATAAGGATGTCTGTATTCATACCAGAACTTTTTTTTTTACCAATCCACCAATTATGACATCTAAAGTGATCATAGTTCTAATATTTTCTGGTAAAGCCAACCCAGCAATTTTTGGAAATTAAAGACTCATTCCCACCAGGTGGTCCCTAATGTCTTTTCCATGATGAAGGGGATTTCATGGGAGCCCTGGGATCTTCATGCAGGGAACTAGAAATGTTTTATTTCTGAAATATTCCAGAGCAGATGCATGAACAGAATTTCAGCCACTGTGTTATAGTGGTATATGTTATATGTGCAAATTATGTTAATATACAATTAGGTAGTTTGCCTCCCTCACAGAATCATTCCCCTGGATACTGCGAGGCAAAACTGGTCAAATGTTCCACAAAAATAATATAAACTCAAAATTAATCTACCATGTTATATAACTCTGTATCAAATAGGCACAGCATTGTGCACATAGAAAACAAAGCAGAGACGTGCAGAGTTTTGGATTTTACCCAGCAGATTTTATGTTTGCTGGCACATTGCGTAGTTGGTCACACCAGGAGCACTTCACTGATTGCACAAGTAAATTGCAGAATTCCTTGTTGCCGGAAATAGGGCCAGCGTAACTTGACCTTAGGCCAGCATGAATATGATTTCCCCCAATAATTAATAAATAATCCATTATGCCAATTCTATTACAAGCAGAAAGCATTCCTTTTTGCATTAAAACACACACCCTCTGTTATATTAAGTAAGATCTTTTATAATTCTCACCCAGGTAACCCTCATACTAACTCATCATTTATCAACAAAATTAATTTCTTGGTTTTCCATTTATAACACAAATCTTGGGATTGTTACTGGATAACATATTAACCACTGCAAGCAGAAACTTTTGTTATATTAAAAGGTAAAAACTAAAGGTGTTAATTGCAGAGAAATGCCAAACATACCCTGTCTAACCTTCTAGCTTCTATATGTCTAAGTAGCTGTTGTCTCCAGTCAGCGGGCATTTTACCACAGCTCTCATTTCCCTTCACAGGGGTAGGCCTTGTCTTTATGTCAGTGTTATCTGCTGGCTTGTCACCATAGTTACCCAAGTTATAGTCTGATGGTATCTTTTCCAACAGAGCTGCCATTGTAGGCCTAGCTGAAACTGGCCTGGTTTGAGAGGTACCATAACTCTCTGTACTGTAGCTTCTTGCAGACAATGGCCTCCTTTGTGTAAGGTTTTTAACTGGAAAACTTCCAGACTGGGATTTCACTTCTTGATATGAAGGGTGTTCATCTTCATACCTGCCATTTCTTTTGAGGAACTGGGATTCAGACACTGAAATGCTGCTTTGGCGTTCCATAGCTCCTCTATATTGATGCCTGTTATACCTATCACTCTGAGGCAGTTCTTGTGGTTCACTGACTCTTCTGTACATTGACATCTCTGTGGAACTGGCCAATGAATCTGCCCTTCTCATAAATCCAGCCCTTGATCCCTGACTTGAGAACTGAGTATTGATGGTCTCCTCATTAACAGAAGGCTGAGAGAATGAAAACATGTGCTCCATGGGTGGATATCCTCGGTAGGCCCTTGGGCTTACCAAATCCTTAGAGACAGTTTTAGTCTGCTGGGGAATGTACTCTGGAGTATGTTGAAAAGGTGGTGGTATCCTCTTTTCTGCTTTCACTTCCACTGATCCTTGAGGATTAAAACTTTGGTCAAACTGATATACTTTCTTTGTCACAGAAGGCTTTTGCTGTTGCTGCACCTTAACACTTCCATACGTCAGCAACTCATCATCAAGCATTGGTACAGACTGGCTACGAGACATACTAGACATTCCATGTTCTGGCCCCAACATTTTATCTGGCCTCTCATGCATTCCTGCATTGTCGGTAGTAGCTGCATAGTTCTCCAGTGGTATATTATAAACTTTATATGCACCAATATCTATCTCATCTATACTTTGTGACTTCTTAAACCTATTAGTCTTCAAATCTCTCATCATTGGAGACAGCCTCTCAGTACTCTTGCTGATGGAAATGACATTTTTTGAAGGCTCCTGGCGACAATGAATATGTGAAAACATATTACTAAGACTTCTGTTAGCACTGGAATCATGATACTCCCATGGTGTCCCTGGAGAAAAAGTGCTAGATAGTTCAGGGGAGTCTTTAACAAGATCTTTCCTTTCAGGTAAAGGGCTGGTGGTAGGAGTACTCTCCAGCTTAGATGGAAAGGCTGTCCTATCTTCAAAAGGGCTAGGGGTCCTTGTCCAATTCTGCCAAGGGTTTGATAGAGGCACTTCTGAATCAGGCGTGTTTCTGAGAGAGGGCTGTTCAAGTTCTAGGGGAATACCAACTATCCTGTCTTGCCTAATTAATGGCCTGCGTCCATGAGCAGATGTGCTTCTTGATTTAGAGCTTAAGAGAGGGTTAGTGTTGGGGTTCTCCACTGCGCTCTCCTCTGCTACAAATCCTGTATTATCATAGTGAGAGCTATCATTCCAGCTGTCAGAGAAGGTGTCACTCATCGGACGCCTGTCATTATGTTGCTGTAAGTTTCCTGCTGGGGCAGACTCCCGCTGGCTGAGCAAAGGCTTTGTCTCAAGAGGCTGGGGAAAAGATTGGACAAGCCTGCAAGAAACAAAATTTGTTTTTTTAAAAAAACTGTATCAGAAAATATGTAATCATATCAGCAAAAAAAATCATAACAAAATTCCTTACCATTCCTGTATGCATAATTTAACCATTTGACTAATGAATACAAAGTTTGTGCAGTAGAATATGGGATGAGAAAGTGTTGTCTACAGTAGCATCATAACACCTTGAACATACCCAATCATATTTGATTTCAGAAGCTAAGTAGGGTCAGATCTTGTTAGTATATGGATCAGATAACACCAGAAAAGATCGGGGATCTTCAGGTAGGACTACAAAAGAATGATGCTTAAACCTTGGACAGCTGCTTCCAGTCAGAGATGGAAATACTAGACTAAATGGACCAACATTCTGACTATCAGATACAGGTAGCTCCCTGTGCTCCTATATGACCCGCTCAAAGCCATTGGCATGCCCCCCCTCAAACCCTCCTCCCCAATGTTCTTGAAGAAAAATACATTGATCCAAAATATGGCATCAGTCTTTTTTCATCATCATCATCTTAGAACCACAGAGCTGGAAAGGACCCTATGGATCTTCAAGTCCAGCCCCTATCAAGGCGCAGAAACAGTTCAGGATCAAACTCCCAACTAAACCACTGAGCTACATACTTGTGAACTGCACTTCCTTCCAAACATGCCTAACATGCAACAAATGTTTTAAAAAGTGAGGTGATCATACATATCTTAGTTGCCACCGTATTAGAGAAGGAAAAATGCTAATGATACCAAGATTTACAAGTTACAGGTGGATAATTTCATGGGCATTATGTCAATTCCCCGCACCCTCATGGAAGACTATGATTCTCTTGTTTATAATAGGTGGGGAAATAAAAATCAGTAGAGAATAGAAATGTTTCTATTAAGTTGAGAAATATGATACTATCTTTAACACTAAAAAAATAGAAATACTAGATATAAATGTTTTAAATAAAGAATAAAAATTAAAATAAAATGTTAGGAAATTAGTTGATGTTGGATAAGACTTATTAACCTTAAACATCTTGCTCCAGTGAGTTTGGGTTGATGATCCAGCAGTTCATTTAACCTTGTATTCTATAAAATGCTAGATGATTTGCTTTAATTTCACAAGTGGAAAAATGTTTTGTAGAGGCAAAATAGAAAAATAAGGGACATAATCACACATGACTCTTCCCTTTTCCTCAGTTGAATATATATATTTCCCCTTGCATGTCCCCCATATTTGTTCTCATCCAAATATCTGTATGCAATCATTGTATTTTACCTGCAGTAGAAGCAGGGGGAGAACAGTGAAAAGAGCAATATTCAAGTGCACATGTATATAAAATGACTTTTGCATACACTTAATTATCTGTTTACACAGAAATTAAAGGGAAAATCTTAGGGCCACAGTGCTCAGTTTGCAAGCAACATCAAAGGCTCTTTGAAAATTTAGTCTACTATACCCTTGATGGGATGAAGTTGCTCTACAGCTAATTTAATAGTTCCATGTGTAATTGAAAAAAACCTAGATGATATATAATAACTGTATCACAGTTACAGCTTTATTATTCTTGTTCTTTGTTAAATAATTCGTCTGGGTAATGGGTAATGTGAATGAAATGCAATTCACATGCTTATGACCAAGCTCAGAATTATGGATAAAGAACTGAATTCTGGATGGAAAGATTCTCAGACAACTAAAAATGAACTGGGAAGATCTCAGCTTTCCTGAACTTGGTAAAAAAATTGTACAGTGTTCCATTACTCTCCACAAGTTCTCTGTCAGCTTTAAACTGTAGGATCTATGAGCTTTTACAAGTTTTCATTATAGTATTTATAGTCAAAACTAGCATTGTAAATGGAATGTGCCATGCAACCATACCTGTTCCCCCATAAAGAATTATTCACTGCATCTTTAGCAGTAGTCTGTAAAGATCCCATTTTAACACGAGCATTAGAAGACCCTGAAGAAGCCTGTGAAGGTGAATAGTCAGAATAGGTTCCAGAAGAAACACTGTTATTCATGCAGTGAACTTTATCTGCTTCAGACTCATCTGTTGACTCTGAAAAACAGAACAAGAAATATGAAATCAAAATGTTGTGGAAGTGAGTAGCTAGAACCAAAATGAAACAATTGCTATAATGAGTCTAAGAAAGTACCTTACATCTCCATTGTCTAATTGTACAATGAGCAGTATACTTTTCCCAGGGCTAAACAAAGAAGAGTAAGTCAATAATACAGAACTATCTCCATCACCTCCCCGATCCTTAAATCTGATATTGGCTGGAATCCTCTTGCTTTGTTACTCAGGTATAGCATCCACTCACTTTTAGCCAGAAATTTAAGAGTTGCTACAGGGATTATCCTGGGTGCATGTACACATTGGCTTGGTGCATGCTTGAAAATTCCACTGGAGACTTGTTGATTACTAGGAGAAAGTGAATGTTATTGTGAGACAGAAGGCGAGAGGGATACCCCACTTGCTGGAGAGCTGTCCATCCTCAGCAGCAAAACTAAGGAATCAGACGCCAAACTCGCACCAGCGCCTTAAGCGAGACCTCAGCAAGAGACAGAAATAGAGGAGCTGACCAAAGATATGCAGAAAGTGATGACAGGGGAGGTTAAGGGAGAAAAGGTGGGAAAAGAGAGGAAAAAGAGGGTGGAGTCTGAAGCAGGAATGGGGGAGGTGAAGGAAAGACAGTTGCTGTCTGGTTGGGAATGGGCGTGGATGGAAGATCCCTGGATGGGATTATGGGAGAGGTTAAGAGTGCCTAAGGAGGAAGCAGATTATAGAAGGAGAGCAGAGATTCCACCCAGACCCTCTTACTGGGGAGAAACCGAGGCGAGAGAGTGGAGAAGGAGAAAGAGAAAGGAGAAAGAGAGAGTTGAGAGAGAAAGGAGAGAAAGATTAGAATGGAGAGAAAGGGAGATGAAGAGAAGGAGTTACAGGGAGGATCCTGAGAGAGCCGAGACCCTGAGAGATGGATCCTGTGGGATGATGACTTGGACGATGAGACTGTGCCCTTGTTGGGCAGACTGTAACACGGATCCTGTGGGATGATGACCTGGACGATGAGACCGTGCCCTTGTTGGAAAGCCTAATGGGGCAGACTGTAAGAGACGGGGTCCCCACTGATCTACCAGGACCATGGAACAACAGTTATGGAACCCCATTCCTGTTTGAAGATTGGAAAACCCTTCTGGACCCGTTGGCAGAAGGAGAAAAGACTCACAATCATGTTTCAGACACCTATTTATTATTAAATGCACCGACAAATCTTTCACCTGTTTTGAAGTAACAAAAATCTACTAATTTCTTTGAATTGAACATGGAGCCAAGAGTCGAACCCTCACAGTTATGTCTTTTGCCTTCCCAATGTAGCAGGGCTGTGCTAGCACAACATTCCTTGTGCGATCACAATTGCACTTGAACTAGCTGATCTCAAGAGATCTCACAACAGAACATCTCTTGGCCCATGCACAGTGCTGATTTTAAAAAAAGTACAACAAGCAAGCAAGCAAACAAACAAAAACAATGGGTAGAGAAGAAGCAGGTTGAGAAAGGAGCTGAGTTATGCCAAAATAAAACCTGCTCTAGTCCAGGGACTCTGCTAGTACAAAATTAGGCCAAGGTGAGAGTAATCCTAAGAAATTTCCAACCTCCCCAGAGCTGGTAGGGGTTTGATTCAGCATGGCTTCACTTGGCCTATTGTCAGCTCAGTTGGCCCACAGCTATCCTGTCTGGTTTAGGTTGCACCCTTAGCTGGCAGACCTTTTTGGGTCCTCTGGGGCGAGGAAAGCTGTAAAAGCCAGAGGACAACATATTACTTCTACTTGTGCATCTACAACATCTGTCATCAATAAGTAGCTACCAAATGATTGCATACCTTTTTTTTCTTTTCCCAAGAGAACGAGTTTAGGTGGATACAATGGTGCTTCAGCCATTGAAGGGCGAAGTTCTCCAATCCTCATATCATTCACAGGATGTACAAAAGGGTCCTGTACAATACAGTTGGTGAATTAAATAATATTATAAAATGATAGCCCAAATTAAGTACACACCCCATCCCAGTCAGGCAAGAGAGTGTCACAGCTCTGGAAAGCATTGCTTGTCAAAGTCTACACATGCTTATTGAACTCTACAAATTGAATTTTACATTACACTTCCAGTCCCAAACTTGGATCATACATCTACACACAGTACATGGGAGGCAGACACTTTAAAAATGGTATGTTAATATTTATCATGAAGGTACATTCTGGGGTTGTTCACAGGAGGTTGTCTTCTGAATATAGTCCAGATGAGGCAAAATCATGTAATGATTTCCAGTACTGTACAATCCATAGCCAAGTTTCAAGGAGCAATGTGGTAAGGAGGGCACCAGGCTCTTGAGATGTTGGGCGGGGTGTGTGTGTGTGAGAAAAGGGAGAGCCATAGCCCTCTGAAAACTGAGCAGGTGGTGCTAGAATGTACAATAGATAGGACCCAAAAAGTTCCCATCAGCCACAAATGGGTGATCCAACAGAGGTATCCGGAAGAGCAGGATAGGCTGAAGATGCTCTGTAAGGAAGGAAGGAAGGAAGTCCTAATCTAATGCTGACTGGTATTAATATCTGTTTGTCTAAGACCCCTGCAGCACAGCCAAATGGGTTCATTTGGTAATGACTGGTACTGGGCTTAGAGTATGTGGCCAACTTAAAATCTCTGGAAGTGAAGTATTAGTGGCAAAGGCTGCTGATTAGTAGGATTAACGGTGAAGTTCACTGATCTAGGGACATGAGCCGTCATACAGTAGGCAATATGCTAGCATGCTAGCATGGATGTAATTAAGCAAACTTTTTTTTTGCTTGATGAATTTGGGCAAAAGGAAAGAGTGAACAGAACATAAATTCTGAGTGTTTTAACTTACATCCAATGCATGTCACAATCTGTCAGAAGCATGGACATGATTGGGGAGAAGGAAAGGAGCACCAACTCTTGGTTTCTGTGGGAAAGTGTTAATTTTTCATAGGAAGCTGGAATGAGGGTGACCATATCCTGTTGATTTTACAGAGATGCTTCTCACTGCAAGAGCTCCACATTCTGAAAACCGCCTGGCCAAAATTATTCCCACAACAAAAATGACCTCAAAGGAAACAAGGCGAAGAAGCTCAGGACACTTTGAAGCCCAGATGAAGATATCATGCAGGGGTTCTGTCATTGCCAGAGGAGAACAGAGCATAGCTGCTCCTAGTAATTACTTCTGTGAGGGTTGGAAAACAACAGCCTTTTGCCTGGCTTTGAGAAAATGGAAGGATGTGGTCTTTTTTTTCAAGATCAGGTAAGATCAGGACTTACCTGATTGAAAGCATCTCTTGAACCCTGACTCAAAGTAGATTTCTATTTGCATCATCTTGTGGAAGCCTTTCAGGCGGCTTTTTAAATCATTGTTGGATGGCTGTCTTGATGCCAACAATATAGAGACAACAGTCATCCATTATCCACAATTTAAGATGACATTGTTCTCAGATTTCAAGCTGTTTGCTTGAGCTAGCCAGAATCTTGATGCACCTCCTGTGATGCAGGAGACTGGGAATTTCAGCCAGGAACCATGAACCCTTTTCAGCTAGAATTTCTAGAAACGGGGAGTTCCTGGACCAGCAGGGAAACAATAAACGGGCACTTTTCCCAGTCTCAGTTTGTGGAAGGACCAAGAGATAAGAGCAGTGGTTGGGAAAAAAATAAAGTTGACCCATAGGGCATGGGCAGGTGAGTGCATTCCACCTCTGGAGTTTGGTTATCTAGAAGAGGTTCCACTCTGAGATGAGACACTTGAAGTAGGTCACATGGTTGCTACAGGCTGCTAAGGAGTTGGGGTTCAGAGGCCAATCTCCAAATGAAGCAAAGAATAGAAATAAACACTTTTTCTGCTCAGGAAACATTCTGTGTTCCATGGACATGTGGGCCATGAAGGAAGGAATTGCCTACTGTTGCAGAAAGGAAACCTCTTGCTGCAGAGTCTCAGACCACCTTAATGCCCTCTATGTGAGAGGGAAGTATTGCTGTTTGTCCTAATCTATGGTGGCCCTGCAGGAGAGGGGCAAAGTGAGCTAGGACTAATCTAATATCCCACAGCTCAAGCAGGGAAAATCTGTTTGCCCTAGGGAATCAAAGCTCTCTGCAGCACCAGTTTTCTGGCTCTTCTGGTAACTATCACTGGGCAAGAAGAATCCTGCAAGGAGAGATGGATTTCCACCAAAAAAAGGGGAAGACCTGACCTCTGTATTATCCTGACTAGTCTGTGTCACTTGGCTGCTCTGTCTTTTTGAGATGCTTTACAAAGATTTACAAAGAGCAATTATCCTATGTGCAAACAAACAAGAAATGGTTAGGAACACAGATTGTTTGTAGGCAAGCAGCCTAGGGCCTCACTGCCTGTTGTACTTTGGATATTCTTTCTGGAGCCAGGGAGAACAATTCTTTCTTTAAAGGAAAAAAAAAGAGAGAAAGGACCAAACACGTTTTCTTTGTTTCACCGCCCCAGAACTATTGAAAATACCAGACCCCACCCCCATACCACCAGGGTTGCCCTCTTCCCCAGCCAAATAGAAGCTTCACAGTTTCAAAAGAAGGCAAGAGGTGGAATGGGTGGGTGGCCCAAACTATCTGGTGATCCTTTGTTTCAGGAGCTGTGGGGGTGATATCCAACCAACCAACCAAGAGCTACATGGGATGTTGTTTGAAAACCACATCTCCAATGCTGCCTGTGTGTTTTTTTTTTCTAATTCATCTCTAAAAAGCAGACCTGGCACAAACATCTGCTTGAATTTTGGGACTCTCATTTATATATATATTTCTTCACTGTCCACAACATATCAATGCATACATGGCCTGAAGAAATGGACATGATCCACAGAACCTTGTTTGATTGTTTGATTTTTTATTTAGTCGTCTAATAAAGGTTTTATTTATGCCTGCACTTGTATAGTTTTTTCTTGGCTTCAATGAGGGTTCACAGAGATGCAATTTGTAATTTTATAAAGAGTCCATACTCCTGTAGAGAAGATAATGGCATTATAATGCCTGAAAAGCCAAAAATGTGCCTTCTCAAGGTATGCTATCTTGCCAGACCCACCGGCAATCCTCCCCATTGATGTTCCTAAATTTGGGCTAAACTTCAGGAGCTATTAATTGGGTTAAACTATCAGTTTGGCACAGAAGCACCTTTCAGGTGTGTAATTCTGTTTTCCTTCTTGTAATCTGCTTTAAGTGGAGGGGACGTTTCAGGCAGTTTACAAGTGTCAACTAAGAGGTGTGAAGCCACAGCCACACTCAGCAAGTCAGGCTTGCCATTTGAACACATGGACCATGTGTGTGCACTTTGGCTTCTATTGCAGCGGTCCCCAACCTTGGGCCTCCAGATATTATTGGACTACAACTCCCAGAAGCCTGCACCACCACCTCTTCTGGCCAGGATTTCTGGGAGTTGAAGTCCAAGAACTTCTGGAGACACAAGGTTGAGGACCACTGTTCTATTGGAAGGGGTGGTGGTGGTTGTGGTTGTGGTGGTGGTGGTGGTGGTGGTGGTGGTGATGATGATGATGATGAT